CTCATTTTTACAATATGAAAAACAACTTGCCAGGGGTAAATAATCTATCATAGTACAGATGAGACCTTAGTCTGGCTTTGGCGGCGTTTCTTATTCATCGTCACTTCATTGTGTCTGAGCTCTGCTTTTATATCAGAGGTGCATTGTGTTACACACCACTTCCTGTCATTCACAGAAGGAAACTCAAGACTCCAAAAGGAAGTAATCCCTAAAAGAATGACATTTTTCTAACTTTGTCACATTAGTAACCGTTTATTAACTATTTATTTTGTGTTTTAAACTCAAATAACAGGTGATTTCTAGCCAAATAACATCTGTCTTTTAAAATTGATAAAAAAAACTGATAAATGTCAAAACTCATTGTCCTTTCACATCTTCAAACAAAGCAAATTGAAGAGAATCAAATTTACCTTATTAATATACAGTTTAATGCAGAAAGAGATTCCAAAATCTAACCAGGCCACTACTCTAACAAAACAATCTGTGGGGGGAGATTTCTATAAAGTATCTATTGTTTAGGAATTAATGTGCTCAATATCAACTAAATGTCAACTTCCCAGTAGATTGTCAGAAATGTATATCCATCCATCCATTATCTATACCACTTATTCCTGAAGAGGTTTGTGGGGGGCTGGAGCCAATCCCAGCTGACACTGGGCGAGAGGCAGGGTCCACCCTGGACAGGTCACCAGTCTATCACAGGGCTGACATGTAGACAAACGACGACACACACCCACACTCACTCCTACGGGCAATTTAGAGTCACCAGTCAACTTAAGCTGCATGTCTTTTCCTAGTTCCAACACAAGCCTCCAGTCTGAAGCTAACGTTAGCTGATTAATGATGAGTAAATGTGTCAATCCAGCGGAAAGCTCTGGTTACTGCTAATGTGACATTAATGTTACACAAAGCTCAAATTATATACTTTGACAACACAGGATAGAGACACTGGAAAAACAGAAGGGCTGTAGGCAGCGGAGTGTCATGGAGGGAGGGAGTATGGCTGAGAGACACTACGTCCTGTCCCATTGTTACTGGGTTTATCAGACAATGTGTACAGCCGTAGTTAATGCACCTTTAATGGGTCTCTCAGAAATAAAATGCTAAACATGTAATGGCATTATAGAAGCAATGGAAAATATTGAACTGTAACGAGTAAAAATGCCATCACCCTGAAATCTCTCACATTCACTGACAAGACATACTGTATCTGGACTTGTCAGTTACCGCCTGGGACATCCACACCAGCTACTATAACGCAGGCAAGTGTCAAATACTGTACTATATCTACTGGGTCTACCCAGTGCTAGGAAATACTTCAGCAAGTAAGCACTTTAGTGATAAGATTATTACTTAATCCACAACACCACTCCAGCTCACTTTATGTTGTTGTTAGGTTCACACTGTGAGTTCACTTTCATCAAGATGCCACTTTCTACAGCAAGACTGAACTATGAGCAGAAATTAATAAATGCAGGGGTATTTGGTAATCTGTAACATGTCATCATGATATATCTTTTGGTGATGTTCATAATAGCAGATCCTTGCTTGGTATGGCAACACAAAATCCTTAATGCTGCAAGTTTAATTTTTCCAGTAATTCAAAATTGTTGTATGAAATCATTTTCTCCCACAAATATCTAACTGGGTTAATCCTAACTCATGAAGTAGCCTCCAGGTCTCCCAAAGCTGAGAATATATTCGTCATTCTAAAGAGCATCTTTAAAAGTAATATTTGAGCTTAAAGGGCCTCAGGCAGTACGGAAAACAAGGACCACACTGCTGCTTTGAACTGGAGATGTGCACTAATATCAAACTCATACAACACTGCCTGTTGATGGATGATAAGATTTGGATTAACATACACGCACGCATAGATCTGCTTACACTTATCACTGCAGTGAAAAAGGTGCATACTACAGTACAGGTCCATCTCAGGCCGAGGAGTAGCCTACTCCTTGGCAGCAACAGCAGACAGCCCGAGCTCTTGTGCTGCATCACTTCCACTCCCAAGGCGACAGCCACCTGCTGCTAAGCCTTTGCCCCACAGGTGACCTTGGTGAAAAGGCAACTTTCTGCCCTGACCCCTCCCCAGGCGAGCCAGACTGATAACTGATGCCTCGGCGACACCCACAAAAGAACCCTAAATATAGCACTCAAGTTAAGTATTTGAGTCTCTTGTCCACAAAGAGCAACACAGCCCGTTTAACTGCTCACTCGCATTTACCACGCTAGCAGTGAAATAAAACGGATTCTCATATTTTCAATTAAAATATGCAAACCTGGTTGAAAGTGATGACCAACGAGCTTGTTTTGCACCAGAACTGGTGAACAAGCCCATCGGTCGGACGGGGAACGGGAAACATAAGAAAACAAGTGGCTAACGTTAGCACGCCAGCTAGTTAGCATGCTAGCGACTTGGTTAGCCTGTACACGGGAGAAATAACGGCTTTCCTCTAAGTTGTGACACATAACGCCAGCAGGTACTTTTGAGGTAAAAGCACAGAATTAAGTTGATTAGACAGGCTACGACAAAGAGCCGATAGCTAATTAGAACTTACTGACAAGCTTGAGGTTCGAGCATCCTGAAGAGCTGCTGCCGGAGGCCTGAGGGACCCCGGACTTTCCTGTGCTGCTCCCCACGGCAGCGGCTGATCCGGCGTCGGCGGCGGCTCCTGGAACACCTGGCGGCTCAGCAAACGAGCTGGTCCTGGGCCGCCCGCTGCCGCTCATATCTCTGTGCTGGGGTCAGGGTTGTTTTTTTCCGCACTATTTTCAGCCAAGCGACTATTAGTCATGAACACCCGGCAGCGAACAATCGTGGGAAGACACCGAAAAATACCGCTCCCGTTGCCGCGGGCTGTCTGGGCTGATAGCTGTTGCTAGACACCTAGAAACAGACCGCTCGCGATGCCACCTGGGAGATGAAGTTTGGCGCTGTTGCTCATGTTTGCTGCCCAGGCTTTCATAAATAAAAACAACTATTTCGCATGACTTGACAGGGGCTGTGGTTAAAAATGAAACATCAGTCTGAGTATTGTATTACCACAAAAATGAAATGCCAAATATTGTAGTATTCTGATAAAAATCCAAGATAAATCACTGAATTTACCATATTGGTGTCCCACTACCTTGCTCCAATAATAGGGAGATTTCTACATCACAGGTAAGTGTAGCTAGCCTATGAAGCACTTTGTAACCTAAAATTATAAAGTAAAGATTAGAGTAAATCTAGGAGGGGTATCAAAATCATGTGACACCTAAATGAACTGATAGATAAGACATACAATTTGGTCAAACATAAAAAAAAAAATAAAACACCGAAGACATCCAGGGATGTGAAATAAGTTCAAGGACATTAGACATTGTGTTAGATCTTTAATATTTTTTCAATATTTAGTTACTTTTTGTTGTTGTTTAGAAATATTGCACATGGTCAACATGCCTGCTTATGAGATAACATTCATCCTAAAATTCCTTCTCCAAAGTAAGGACAGTTTATTTTTAAGCACAATCATACAGTGTACACACATACCTGTGTGTATGCACATATGTCTGTGTGGGTGTGTGCACGCGTGCATGTGATTGCACATGCATGCAGATGGACAATTTAGAGCCCTAACCCCGAAGAGAATTGATAGTCCTGTGATGTTACCTGTGTTATGTGTGTGTGTGTGTGTGTATGTGTATATCTTTATATATATACTGTATAAAGCCATACACGCGCACACAGACATCCTGAATTCACTTGGTTTGATAACAGTCAAAATGACAAACAAAATAGTCATGGTGACTATAAAAATACTGTCTCTAGAGTAAAATGTAGGATGTAGAATACAATGAAAAATATACTATTGATAATGTTCCTGTGTGGTGAAAGAACAAGAGGTTGGTTGTGTTAACATGCTACCTGCACGTGCCAAAACATACACATACACCCAAACACAGACCTAAATGTGCATATATGGAAATACCAGTATATATACTTTTTCACACATCCAACTGTATACAGAGAAATAAGAGATACCCAGAATAATAACTACCCCAACTCTTCGCCAAGGAAGCAGAGGCAAAAAAGTGCTATTCAAAAATTGTCTTTGACTTTTAGTAAGTTACACTCGCTATCTCTTCAACAATGACAATAATTGGGTGATTCTTTTTTTATTGTTTCATACAATAGTTAAAGATAGTATCAAGACAGAACCTCTCACTGACTGACTGCACTGGGTTTACTATCTATGGCACAGAGCCTTTACCCCAAAACAAAATAACCCACCCATTAAAAAAACCATAATGTCCTATTGCACCATTGGACGGGAAAGGATAAAGTGTCAAGAAGAGAGGGAAGAGGGGAGGGCTCCAGAGACTGCCCTCCAGGGCTGGTCTAGGATCTGCTTTCCCTGAACTACACCACACCAGAACCATCCTGAGCTACATAGCACTTGACCCAGGACCAGAGCTTAAGGGCACTTTCTAACAACATTTGAGTGATAGAGGGGGAATGGGTGAGGAGAGAGGTGGAGAAGGGTGGGGAGGACTGAGGAGAAGTGGGTTGAGATGAGGGAAGAAGCAGAAAGGACAGGTGAAGGAAAAAGGTGGTTGATAACATATGGATCAAGGTTATTACTTTTTCTACTAAAACGATCTCTAAAAACAATACTTTCCTGATTTAACTTGTGGCGGTCCCAGACGAGAAGGGCCCCACAAATTGTGCAAACACCTGAATTCAACATTTTACAAAACGACAAATGCTCCTGCTCCCCCACTTCTGTGTCTGGTGAGAAACTGTAAGGGAGGGGATTTAGGAACCACCCCAGGTACAATTAAAAGTGGGGGGCATAGACTGATTTTGTCCCTGTCTTTGTCCAGAGATGTTTTTTCTTTTTGTGATTTTTTTATGCTGGAGAAGAAACACAATAGAGCCACAAGAGAGAAAAACAGGCCACGGTAAAACTGGTTATTTCCACGGCAACGATAACGAGAGAAAGCAACATCATATCCACTGGGAGATTCAGAGAAGTTTGGTTAATTCTACTTTTTCTCTCTGTTGGTAAGCTTGTCATGTTGTTGTCCTTATTATTTTCCGTTTTCCTATTGTTGGAATATAAATCTTCCATTCAATGTTTCTTCTTCTGACTTTTCTCTGTGCTCTGTTGGGAGCCAGTCAGTGTCGAACTTAATGTTGATTCTTCAAAGACTTGCAATCAATAGTCTCTTTACATAATCTCTTTTAAGGTGCCTGTTGACAGGTTTTGGGGAGGGGACCCCAACAGACATACAGACATATATAATCAGCTCCCATCAATGAGACTCAGTCTTTCAAAATGGCAATAACTGAAGGTGCAAAGATTGGTCACACTACATCCCAACTCCTGCCTTCTTTTTGTTTTTCAGGAGCAAGTAGATTTCACGCTTTCAGTTTCTCCTCTCATTACAATCACTAAAAACTGTGCAGGTCAATGGCTTGGTCAGACCAGGGTTGACTATGTTTGTGTACGAGTGCTCACACTGCACAGATGTGTCCATGCACTGTGGGTCTTTGTGTGAGTGTACTGTATATATGTGTGTGTGTGTGTGTGCGTGTGTGTGTGCTGTCTGTCTTGCAGCATCGAGGGGCTGTGGAATATCAGTGGAGGTCATTGGGGTTGTGTTCTGTGTCCCAACCACTGTGCTGAGGAGCGGAAGGGCAAGAAGGAGGTCAAGTCAATGGCATCTGAGGGCTGGCTGGCTGGCGACAGCAAACTGCATCTGCACAATAAGTGACAAAGTGCCTCTGTGTGTCATGGTCCTTGGTGGCGGCTCCTGGAGACTACCAGCCAAGAGTAACAGTCTGATTAGTTAAGGGTGCATGTGTGTGCGCCAGAGAGATTGAGAGTGTGTACCACAGAGTTTGTGTGTCAAACTATAAACTACTCTACAAATGTGCTGAGAGCAGACCTGGGCAAAGTGTTAACTGAAAATTTCTGGATACTTGGAAAATAAGTAAAAACGTTACTACAAGAAGCACCTGAATCATCAGGACTTGCATGTGATTTGTCCACTTTTGAGGCTTTTTTTTGTCTGGTTAGACAAATCAAGCGCACCTTGAGTAGTATGAATATCTGTGACCATATTCAAATGTTTATCTTTCCAGGTATGGTGAAGATTAGTGCCAGTATAATGGATCCTGCTGGAGCCATCCTCAGTACTTGTTCAACTCATTCAAGAACACTGCAGCAATGACACACTCCGCTCCCTCTTCTTTTCCTTTTTTTTCAGCTTCGTCATCCTCTCCACCTCATAATCCTTCACTTTTCTGCTCCTCCGGGCTCCAGCCTTTGTCTTCTTGCTGCTCTGCTCCTCCATCCTCCTGAGCTGATTGACTGAAAGAGGAGCTGTGGGAGGGAGCAAGGTTGGCTTCGGCTGGCCCTCCAGGCTCAAAGGTTCCAGGCGTGGCCGCCTGCATGATCTTCTGACGGACTTCACGGATCTTTAGCTGTAGACACATTTTGTTGGGGAAGGTGTCTGAGTAGCGTGCCTGGAAGGCAGCGGTGGCCTGAGCTGGAGAGAAGACCAGGATGTGGGAAAGAGCAATTGGTTTACAAATGCATATTGTATCCTACATGAAATCCTTTCAAGAGAAAACAAAGCTGTGATTACAGGGTTGCCTGCACAGTTTTCTGTTAAGCATATTTTTACCGAGCACTTTGCTTCAACCTACAGGTAACATTGATTCAGTTGTTGCTACAAAGCCACAGCATGTACTATAACCTAAATTAAACCTAAAATAGCCTGAGGGGAAAGATAAGGGAGGAAAGGTAAGTAAGAGCTTAGATAGTTCCACCTGTTACCTTTACCCACCCAGACACCCTGTGTATTTATTTATTTAAGTTGTTTTCTTCAGGCTTTTTGTAGCCTCAGTTTGCAGAGAAGCAGACAGGAGACAGGAGACAGAGACCTGCGACAGAGCTGTCAGCAGTTGGTGTTGAACCACTGTCATGAAGAGTTACGGTGCTCGGCACCAAAACCATTCGGCTACAGGGCGCCCCCTACTGTGAACTATTTCAAAGGTAAAAAGTGTAGATTGTCTTCTACTTTTAAGCTGCAAAGTACTTGACTAAATGTAATGTATTATTTAAGTAATTTAGCCAGATTCGAATGGGTGGGAAGGCAGTTTTTTTCTCATACGTAAGTAAAACCTTTGTGGCTGTAATGAGGTGAAGCAAAGTTTGCCTGTAGAGTTTAATACAAGTCAAAGACTAAACTTCTATTCCTGCTAGTTGTTCTCTCTCCTTGTGGTTTACCTGAGGGAAAGAAGCCATGTTCCTGAAACAGCTGCATAACCAGAGCCCGCCGCTGATCTAGAGTTCTCCGCAGGGATGAGTAGGGGACCCTGTCCAAGTCTCCTAAAAGGTCGTTGCCCTCTGTACCTGGTTGGTCAAAAATGAGGATCATAGCACCGTCACTGTGCCTTGTGGAGCAGTTCTGCAGCTGCTGCACATGATGAACCTGTTGTACCTGCTCTGTCGAAGGTGAAGATGTCTCCCTCACACTTTGCTGCACACTTGGGGGTGTTGGGCTCAGAGCCACAGCTGGACAGACGTCGAGTCTTCCTCCTTGGGGAGCTGGGGTCCTCTGCTGTGACATCCAGCTCTAGATATGTGAACGATGATAGAGCATGAAGAGAAAAAGGGATATATATATATGTGTGTGGAAAGAGGAAGGGAGTGATGAAATGTTAAAGGTGATTTGGAGAGAACAATTGGATTTTAAAGATTGAGGAGAAGGAGTAAAAGTAGAAAAGCAGGAATCAGATTAGAGTACGGTTAATAAAAACAATGAAGGATGGAAGAGGTAAAAATGGAGTGAGACAAGAAGTCTTAATGCCAAATAAGTTATGCCCTTTATCACTTTAAGCATGTCTTTGATTCAAAAGTTAGGAACATTCACTCGTTTCAGTCTGAGTCTCTGAACAGGATCTCACCGTTGGAATTACGCCCCTTCTTGCGGTAGCTTCCCAGGATGGCTCTTGGTGAGGTGGCCAGGCTCTGCAGTGTGGGGGAGGAAAGGCCCTCCTCTGGATTAAACTCCGGAAGCTCAGCAAAACGCTCCTTAAAGTATGTCTCAGACAAGACCCTGCGCACAGAGGACACAGCAGCCACATCAGTCCCCAACCCAGTAATGCACTGGTTAAAATATCAAGGGAAGGCTTCTGAATGGATTCCCATTTCTCATGGCTCGGGGCTGAGTCTTTCTTATGGCTTTCCCACTGCTCTCTCTAAATAAAGAGTATAAAGGTTGAGCACTCTGCCCACTCGCATTCAGTAAACAACAACAGAGTTTCCACCATGGTTTTAAGAAGTTACATTTGCTCAAAGACTAAAAATTGAACTAAATCCAACTATGTGTGAGATTCGGTGTTAAATAAAGCCAACAAATGGAGTCCTGTCCATGATGTTGTATCTCATCTTCAAGCTGCTACAGACTGTAATTACAAAAGATAAGCTATTGTTCTATGAGCTCTCTCAGCTTGAGAAAATGTAAACTGTTAAAGCAGAGAGAACACTGTCTTACAACAACCAGAAAACCAGAAGGACCTGGCAGACTTGTTGTATTTTGCTTTGGCACTGATTCTATGAGAACCATAACTTACAGTACGTCTTATCACAGAGGATGGTGCTAGACTTTAATAAAAGCTTGCCCTGCAGTCGAAGATGAGATCACAAAAATAATAGCAAAACACTTAACATTTTCTACTCAATTTCAGTTCCTCTTTACAAGTACTTACCCATTTCATAGCAAATACTTTAATGGTGAGGTTGCTTGTGACACCGAACCCCTTCAGATATTATTTTAAATATGCAAGAACCAATGTGAAGCTCTCTGTGCTAATGATTCCTGCCCTTGTAGTACTGTTTTTTTTCCCCTCACTCACTTGTCGAGAGAGTCGGGTGTCTTTTTGAGCGGCGGGGGTCGAAACTTGGTCTTCTTTGATGAGGAAGGAGTCTCTCTTTCCACAGTAGGTGGTGGAGAGGGGTCCAAACCTGAGGTTGGTGGAGGGGAATGAGGTCCAGCCTGGGAGGAGAATGCGAAGGTTGAATTAAAGAATAATATGATTAAACACAAGTCTACCTGTGGCTCTAATGTACAAATCCTCAGCTCTTCCATTCTGAAGCCAATGTCAGAGCATCCGGGCCTGTTTGTTAGCATGTCTCCTACTGTGTGACAGCGGCAGCTATTTTTGAACAGTTCTGGGTTGACAGTAGCTCATTTGTGCATTATGATTCTTTTTTTTTTTAAAGTGTTTAATTTCATTCTTAGCTCAGAAAATTTCTAAACACAGTAAGGCAGATTAAAACCAGTGTGATGCAAGTAATAATACTGAGAACAAATGAGGAAATACATATATTCCTGTTAAACAGTGCACGTGTAACATTGCCTGACTTCTGTAGAGAAGTTGTGAAATTCCCCGTGTGGTTGTTATAAACCAGCAGCAACCCAGTAAAAAAATCTGTCCTGAATGGTTAGAAGAGGCGTGTAAGATCCTTCATGAAAGCTTCATAAAAAGTGTGTTTTGATGAGAGAAATGGCTGAATGAATGGAGCAGCTTCTCACCTCTTTGCTGCTGTCGTCCATACTGTGGTCCTCTCTGTCTCTATTCTTTTCACTGCTCTCTGTCATCCCTCTTTCACGCTCTGCATCCATCTCACTTTGTTTCTCCCTGCCATGCACGTCTCTCACATTTTCCTCTTTAACATACAGACCGATGTCCTCCTCTTTTTTTACTAGAACAGATAGACAATGTCAGACTTGTAAACAAACTGTACCAATTCTTAGTTCTCTCACTTGGCACAATGCAACTTTTCACTAGGGAGCATACTTGTAAATCACCAATATACAATTTAGATGTCAGAGCAAAAAGCGTTACTGCATCCTGTCAACTCGGTGAATACATGTGATGAGTTTAACCAGGTGTCAAGACTTTTAAGGTTCAACAGACTATGTTAGGATAAAATGGCCACAACCACAAAAAATGAAATGTAAAAGCCGACCAGATAAAACCACAAGGGTTTTACCTGTTGCAACGTTGCTGGTACAGGTGGCCACGGACATCCCCTTTTCTCCATCCTCAATCTGAGCATCCGACTTGTTCTCTCTCTTCACCTCCACCTTCGGCTCCACCTCCACTGCCAGGCCCGGCTGAGAGGTCACCACCACTGAACTCGGCACCCCTGCTGCCAATGGAGAGGATGGGTTTATCAGGTCTTGGGCTGGGGCTGCCACAGTGGGTGGCATGGTTGTCACAGAGACCACGCCAGTAGCCAGTGCAACAGTTGGTGCAGGGTAGATGGCAGTTAGCACCTGATGAAGAAGAGTGTAAAAAGCAGGCACATCAGCAAACAGTCTGAGAAACAAATAATGGTGTCCAGGGGGTTTCTGTGTCCTTTTCTGATGCAAAGCTCCACCTGTTTGTTTTGGGAAAAAAAGGTGTTGACAGTCCTGACATAAGTGAACATGTCCTGAGGAGGCAAGCAAAAGCAAAAACTATGCTAAAACTATGAGAACATTTAAATTACACTGTTTATTACTGCCAGGGTAAAAATGGATCCTGTTCTGTTACACAAAACAAACAAACCTTTGTGCTGTAAATCAACCTGGCAGTTTTACAAGCTGGCAGACAAAATGGAACAAATGCAGCAAAGAGGCACCGAGATGCTGCCAATGTTCTCTCCTGTTTGTTTACAGTAATTTCCCTAATGTCTCAAAGCCAATGATGTGATGACTTACTGACATCAGAATAATACATCTAGCACCTTTAATCCCTCTGCCTCCACAGCTGCAAGTGCTGAGCAAATACAATTGCACACATTTCCAGTTTTAAGCAGTTCTGCAGCACTGTACACTTCTTTGTTCCTTTTTACCTGATGACCAGCGGCTACCGAGGCCTGGCCTGGGGGAGTCTGTGATTGACAGGTCAAAGGCGGGGCTGGAGCCAGCAGCGGTGACTGACCAACGATTGGCTGAACCAGGGTTTGCCCAGCCGGGGCGATAGCAGTGAATCCCAGGGTTGCCAGAGGTGATGGGAGATACGCGGGGCCAGATGCAGGCATGGCCTGCTGGGGCGTTGCTGTGGCGGCTCCTGGGCCAGACTGGACATAGGTGATCCTGAAAAGCCGTCCAAAGTGAATATCGTTAAATATTAAAAATAAAAAAAAGTCAATAATGATCCCAGCAGTCTACCAACTTCTCTGGCTAATTAAGCAACAACAGATACACTGCAAAGATAAAAGACTGATCCTCACACATCTAAAAAGCACAAATTATAAATGATACAACAGCTCACGAGGGAGCAAATATATTCTTGTAAATATGCAAATTAAAAAAAAAAAACTTGGGCTGCAACTACTGATTATTTTTGTTACTAATTAATTTCTCAGTTATTGGATTCATGGTTTGATCTAAAAGTGTCAGAAAACAGTGAAAATAATCAAATCCAAATTTATTTATAAAGCACATTTAAAACAACACAGAGATGACCAAAGTGCAGTACAAAACAACAAATACCACCAAAAAATACAGAAGGAAAACGTGCCCATCAGTTTTTCAAAGCTGAAATCAAATTTTTATCTGACCAACAACCTAAAAATACTGAGTTTACTAACACAACTTTAAAAAAAAAAGCTGTACGTGATTAACAGTTACAGAAATGGCTAATGATTCATTTTCTGCCAGATAACTCGACTCTGCATTTTAGTTTTAAAGAAAAGCGTCAGATTTTCACCTTCAACAATGTGGCCAAATAACTATATTTTTCTTTTATCCCTGTCTAAAATTGGGGAACTTAAGAAACTGACATTTACAGTTCTTACAGTGTTAGGGTGATTTTCATTTTAGATAGAAATGAATATAATTAGTTAGGGTTTTTTATTATATGGCATACATAAGTTTATATATTTTAATCTCACAGTTGTGTTTATGTTTATGTAGTTACATATCCACATATCACCCTATGTGTTCGCTGAATCACTGGTCAGTATTTACTGTGTTAGCCAACTGGAGCACTGTTTAACATCAAGGGGGACCGGTTCACTAAAACACTGGATCTCA